CCACCGGGCTGGCCCAGGGAGTTATTATTTAATAGGTATAGAGTTTGAGTTTTGCAAGATGAAAAAGTTCTGGATATTGGTTGCACAAGAATATACTTAACACTACTGAACTGTATACTTAAAAATCAAAGATCAAGATGTTAAATTTTTAAAATTCATTCATTCATTTATTTTAAATGACAAATAAAAATTGTATATATTTGTGGAGTGCAACTTGATGTTTTGATGTATGTATACACTGGAATGGAGAAGTCAAGCTAATTAACATATACATTACCTCGCACACTTATTTTTTTGTGGTGACAATACTTAAATCTATTCTCTTAGCAATTTTTAAGTATACAATACATTGTTATTAACTATAGTCACCATGTTGTACAGTGGCTCTCTTGGAGTTGTTCCTCCTGTCTAACAAATTTTGTATCCTTTGGCCAACATCTCCCCAAGGCCACCTGCCCCACCCCTGGTAACTACGATTCCACCTTCTGCCTCTATGAGTTCATCATTTTTAGATTCTACGTATAAGTGAGGTCATGCAGTGTTTGTCTTTCTGTGCCTGGCTTATCTCACTTAGCATAATGTCTTCCAAGTTCATCCATGCTGTCACAAATGGCAGGACTTCCTTCTTTTCTAAGGCTGAACAGTATTCGATTGCATATGTGTACCATATTCTCTTCATCCATTCATCCATTGATGAACACTAGCTGGTAAATTTTGTTATGTGGTTTTTACCACATTCTAAAAAGAAAGAATTAGAACAAGTTCTGGATGTGAAGTTTAAGCAAGGCTAGAAAGGGAGTAGACAGCTGAGTGGGAAACGGGGAGGTAAACGGTGTTTTTTTTAGAATCACTCTTGAAGGAGAAGAACATCTCTAGCTAAATTTAATGGGCACTTCCTCTTTGCCAGGCACTACGCTAAAAGTTCTACATGCACGTACTATCTCTTTTCATCCTCACAATAGCCCTATGAAATACAGTAAGATTATTGCCCCCATCTTACAGATGAGGCAATTAAGAAAAAAATAATAAAATGAATATTCTGCCAATGTGCCCTGCTTCCTTTAAACCAGTTTTCAAAGAGCAGTCTCATCTTTTCCAAATTGG